TAAAGTTAGTGTTAGAGGCTGATGACAATGAACCATTTCCCCTATTCCTGTTTTCATTTCTTTCTGGTGAATACTAACATTGAAGTTGACAGAGAACTTGGAGAGCCTTTCCCTTGGCCCTTGTTTTGGGGAACTTCCCAGAGAAACACGGGTATACACTCCCTTGCACAGTTTACCCCATGCTCTCATGATTGCTAATTGTTCTGCCAGTTGTTACTGTTCTGTCAGACCCCAGAGGTGGGGCATCATTATTCAGGCCTGCTTGGCCAGGCAGGAAAGCGTGTGTAGGACGGGGCGCTGAACCTATGGAGTGTCGCGCACTCTCCAGCTAATGAATGCAGGCTTGTAAAAGCATCTGGACACTGCTGGCATCCTTAATGGGAGGGCGGCTGATAACTAACTCCTAAAGCCGTGCTTGTCTACAAGCAGCCCTTAGAAAGCAGGAAACATACTCCATGAACCTTCAGGGGAGCATATGGAGCTACAGTCTCTTGTTCGTGCATTCAGCAAGCATTTTTTTGAGAACGTCCATGCCAAGCTCTGTTTGAGACACGAGGAATACAAAAGACAAAGGAGAGTCAGACCCTAGAAGGTCTACTTTTTACTGGAGAATCCTGCACAGAAACAGAAAATCATTAAGGAACTGTGTGGTAAGGGATGCGCAGGGAAGTACGAATGGGAGAAGGGCACAGGCAGGAAATTCTTTGTGGAAGTCATGCAGAGAACATGCTGCAGATCAAGGACTTGGTTTTGGAATTAGGGCAAATCAACGTAAAAATGCTTTTAGGTCTCAACTGACAGAAGACCTAACTCAAACTGACTCGAAAAATTAAGTTAATTTATCTTCTCATATAACTCTGAGTCCAGAGGAAGGGGGGTTTGATATAGAGCTTCACCATGTTTTCAGGACCAGGGTTCCATTTCTCTGCCACTCTTTTGACGGCGCTGCCCTGCACGGGTCAGCTTCTTCCTTAGGCTGGCTTCCCTTATGGAAACAAAATGGCTGCAGCAGATCCAGGACTAACACCCACACACCAGACAACCCGGATGACCCAGCATTTGAAGCAAAGCTTCTGAGAGTCACTCTGCTGGACTGGCTGAAGTCACATGCCTTCACCTCATCTCATTAAGCCATATTTCATTGCCTTACTACAAGTCGGCTGTGAGTCCAGGGGAGTCTCCAGGGCACCGATGCTCCCTCCATGTGATGATGCAGGGATCCAGGCAGAAGCAGTCTCCCCTGTCTCGTAACTGCACTCCTGGGACATACAGCCTCCTGAATCGGACCAGCAAGAGAAGAGCCAGCCGGGAAGGCCAACACTGGAAGTCAAATTCCTCCACCTGGAACGGAAGTGGCAGCCAGGGCCCCTGCTCACATTTCACTAACGCAAGTCACGTGGCCATGCCTCACATCAAGGGCCAGGTGAGAGCTATGTGTGCCTAGAAGTCAAGGAGAACTGGGTGCTGGCGGATGCTGGGGACGCCTCCTGCGAATTCCTGGGCTTCTCCAGCAGGTGCCCTGCCTGCCTGCTCCACTGGAACCAGTCTCCTCCGATTCCGCCGCCACACGCAGGAGCTTGTTTCCAGAGGGGGAGGGGACTGGCAATGGAAAGATTAGCCGCTCCCAGGGTTCCACGCGGGGATCAGTATTTTCAATAGTACTTTGTGAGTTCGGCCTCAAAGTAAATGGTTAATTCATCTTGTATCAACAGCACTGTGATTCATAATGTAAACTTGGAGAATCCTTGATGTTTCAGGCCCACATTCCTTTTAATTTGGCTCTGCATTCTTTTAAAGCCTCAGTGTGCTCACTTAATAGAATGCAGCATGCAAATGCACAAGCTTTTGCCCGGAGGCAATTTAGCCTGGCTGTTTCAATGGATGTCTTCTTTCAAGTGTATATTCTTTCTTAAATTATTTACTGAGTAAACACACTTTGCATTTTCAAAAGGGAGATTAAGACAGCTTGCTGCAGACCTAGTTGAACGTAAAGTCCCCTTTGCCCAAAGTTAGAAAGAAGTTACTTTGGGTTTCCCAAAGTTCCTTCTCTGGCTCACTCGCTGGGAACCCCTCTCCTGGCTTGTTTTTCTGATGCTCGGTGGACTCTGCATTCCTTTCTGCTCTGCCTACCGCGATACCTGCCGGCAGCCCCTGGCTGTGACTATCCTCCAGGCTCCCTCACCGATGGGGCCCGCCAGTGCCAGCCTTTTTGTCCCCTGCTCCTATCCGTTCAAGGGCCACAGCAGCTCCCTTTTCTGGTCCTTAGAGGCACCATATCAACCCAACATCTTTGAGGTGCAAAGCTGGGGTGCTGGGCTGAGTCAAGCTTCCTTCCAACTCTGTCTGCTCCAATTCTCTTTCCCCCCACTCCGCACCCTCTGTCCTAAATATCTGCCCATCCTTGCTTCGAAAGCAAGTGCCCTCTCCTGCCGACCTCCACCACCGTGTGCCCCGTTTCCATGAGGACCGTTCCTCCTCTTGCCTTCAGAGAGAAGACCCAGTAGTGCTTTGAGAAGGCATATGGCGTCAAGTTTCATCTTTGGGGGGTTCACTTCAACTTTTAACTTCAGCCTTACCTACACAGACTCCCTGAGATTTTCCTGCAAATTGAGTTTACACAGAAGTCTTCTCCATTCACCCTGGAATGGAACGATTAGAATAACAGGAGCCGCATTCTTTCATTATCCTCCTGTGGGTGGGTCTCTCTCGAGTAGTGTGTGTCAGCAACTGTGCCTTGTGTTCTACGTGCTGGGGCTGCAAAGGGGAAGAACGCTCTAGGCTCTGGACGCACCAAGGAGGGAATGGACTCTTTGGTCTTCCTGAATGGCTGTGAGGCAGCGGAGAGGTCAGGCTGTCCTGGGATCGGTGATGTGCTGAGTGAATGACGGATAGGAGCTGTTAAGAATGATCGTGGGTGAAGCACAACCCTTCTTTGCCTTGCGATGAGAGAAGCCCAATTAGGAAGGCCAGAGAAGAGCTGAGGACTTAGGGATTCCTGTGTATTCATTTTTCTAACCATGCTTCAGATTAAACAAGTAACACCCGCCGTTAATCCTTTATAAATTAGCATCATGGATGCCTTGGGGCCCTCAACCCACAAATAAAATGGTTGTCAACCAAGAGACACACTACCGTATATTACTTAAGGCAGAATTTTAAAGAGTTTTCATGCTTTTAATCTGTTTCACTGCTGAGTTTCAATTTTGCTGATTTCCTTTGCAAGTCTGACGCGGATGGTTGTGGTAAATAGAGATTGTGACAGTGACTTGGGCAAACGGGATGTGTCGAGTCTGTTCTGAAGACTTATGCCCCTTCCAGAGAAAAGGGGGAAAATCAATTTGGGTTTTAAATCCAGCCACCAAGTAGCACTGATCAGTGTTCATAATTAGCCTCACTTTAACAAGCCATGAAGTCCTGTTTTTATTTATTTATTTTGGGGACTGAGAATCTCCCTGCCTCCTGAGTAAATATGGCCTGTTAAGTCTGAATTAGCTGTCATTGCAGAAGAATTAATGTCAGGGCGCAGCCTTTCTAGTGGGGAAGGGAAGAAATAAAGGAGACAGATCTTAGCTGAGCCTTACGTGATAAATGAGGACCGAGCAGATCATTCATCTCCTTCGAGGAAAGTGGACACAGACACTAGAGCAGTTTTGCGGAAGACGTGTCAGCAAATGTGATCATTTTGTAACCTGTCAGGAGGAGAGGGAGCTAGTCCTTCCAAGGGGCCACAGGGGAGTGGGCTTGTCTGATGCAACCGTCTCCATCCATCCATCGAGGTTGGGAGAGGAAGGGGGTGGGCGAGGAGGACTCCAGCTGAAGCCACAAGGACGTCATTTTCCTTCCGAGAAAGAAACTCATCCAGAACCTAGAAAAGGCTGCCAACACCCTGCAGAGATTTCTTCGCAGAGATACGAAATAGGAGGGCAAGGTCTCTGTTAGACTAAGACAGCGGACCTTTTCCTGCTTGGTATTTGCAGGATGGGCGGATGGGGTTTGCTGTGCGGCGTTAGGCACCTGGACACCCGGCTGGACCACCAGCCATTCGATCTTCGCTGTGCGGCTGGTTCTGCGGGAGGAGCGTGGGCGAGGCCTCTTGACCTGGGTTCCCTTTGACAGTCTCAGCAAGGCATTCCGGGGTTCACGTCTTGGCTCAGAGCGAGCCAACACCTGAGGAGGCAACTTCATGGGAGACTCTCTGTGGGCATCTCGGAGCACGTGTCTCCAGTCTGGTTCTCCTCCTGACTTCCCAGTTTCCCAGCAGCATTTGGCAGAGCCCGAGCTGAGGGGGCTGGAACCCCCAGAGGTGAGGGCCCACCAACCCAAGCACATGAGGCACTCAGGGACTTTGTGTCATTTCTCATTTCCATCTTTTTTTTTTTTTTTTTTTGTGGGTTACGGAGCAAATATAACGTTTGCTCCTGGTGTAACAGAGCAGTGAGCCCCAGTGACAGATGACAGTTTCACAGCCTGAGCTGCAAGGTTGACACTTGCTTCTTAATCCTCTCCTTTTCTTCCTAAATCTCTTTTACTTTTTCCCCAGTATTTTTGTACAGGTAAGTACCTTACTGACATATGTTTCCTTGGAGTCTTTTACTTTACCAGGAAACACTGCAAAAAAAACGAGGCTTGTCTCGAATTTTAAATTAAAAAGAGAAGCTCACATGGGGCCCTTGATCGCTTACAGATTACTACATGGTACCCCGAGCCCAGAAAGCCATTGGATTTGCTTTCGCTTTGCAGTAAGCATTTCTCCGGGTGCCGTGTGACAGTCACGGTGGAGTTGCTCATTTCCTCGTGGATCATTTTAGAACCAAAAGCTCCTGTGCACGTGCACACTCACATACACACACCCACGTGCATGCAAACACAAGCCCCACACTGGGCTCCGTACCCCCACCTGTGAAGCCATCATTTGATTAGCCAGCTTGGTCTTGGATGGTCTTTGTCAGAAAACCCTTCGTGTATCCATGTGATTTTTTTTTTCCTCTGCTCTTTCCTAGAATCATCCAGAACCGCATCCTGGTCGTCATCTTGGCCATCATCCTGGTCGTCACCATCCTGATGGCGATCACTTTTTCTGTCAGAAGACACTGATGGATCTGCTCTTCCCTGATAAACAGCAACAGCGGCGCGTTCTGAGTAATTAAGACAAAATGGTCACATGAATCATTCTTTTGCGCTGACAGGCCCTGAATGACCCTCCCTCTTTTCACCCCTGTTCAGCTCAAGTGCAAAGGGTGTAAAAATATTTTCTATTCCTGTTTGCATGTGGGTCGGTTTCCTTTTCTAGGCTTGTCTTCACCCAGATTTGTTTTTTGTAGGGGAAGGTGAATGTTTATTTGCCTTTTGGTGATTTCATCTCCTAACCAAAATAGCCTTGGTGACATTCTTCCTTGCCCTGTGGACATGTCAGGGGTCACGGTTTGGGATAGGGCATGATGAGTCAGCCGTGGGGCATCTGATGGGCTGTGCTGTTTGTCACACATCTCTTGTCACCAAATTGCCCTTCTGTGATGTCCAAGGATAAAAATGCAGAGAAAAACAGGGGCCAGAGCCAGTGACTGGCTCCAGCAAACCAGCTCTGTTCTACCCAGGCATACTGAAGATAGTCTGCCTACCTGAGTGCTTTCACTGAAAAGGTGGCTATTTAATGTCAGTTGTGCAGGAAATTGACTTAGCACTTTCTCTGTTTTTCTATGCATATATATATATATATTTTTTTTTTTTTTTTTACAGCCAAGAATATTATTGCTGAGCCTGCCCAAGATCCACTTTCCACAACTTTGATTACTGGCTACATGAAATATTTCCTTACCTTCCCCAAATCCCATAGTCTCCAGAATTTGCTGGCAAAGTGAGCCCTGGCACGGTATTTAATTGTGACCTCCTCCCCCCGCCCCGACCTGTGTAAGCATCTTGGTATCCTTTCGGTTTTAATATCTGCACTGCCAAAAGCAGCCCTCATACAAGCAAAAGGTCTGACAAGGCTCTCTCCACATCCATTCCAGTATGTAAGAGAACATGAATATTTCAGGAAGAGCAAGAACATGAGTCCATCAGTGTGAAATTTCAAATGTGATTATAAATATGGTAGAGTCCCATACAATGATCCACTAGAAATAAACTTCTTGGAAAACGTTCACTAACCTCCTTTCAAAGAATAAGGGGTTGCAGTGTATTACAAAGGACGGCTTGGATTTTCTACAAAAAAATGTTAGCACAGCCTTCCTGAGTTCACTGTGTATTCAAACCTCTGACGTGCTTTGTGATTTCCTTTGGTTTCTTTCTGTCCGAGGTAACCGGGAATTGCGTTCAAAATGAGTTCATTTATGATCAGGCTTAAAGTTGCCCCAAGCTGAGGTCATTTTCCCCCTAGTCATAAAGCAAAATGTGTTTTTCTTAAGACTTCATAGGCACTTCCAAGGTCCGTACTATCTTTTGAATGTAATTGGAAGTTTTGAATCCTTGAAAAGCAAACCTGTTCTCTTCATAAAAAATGCTAACCACCTGTGCCTGTAGATCGAGATCACCTGGATGCAGCACTTTATTTTTATGTTTTTCTTCCCCCCAACTCAGAAAAGAACCGTTATGGTTTAGAGAGGAAATGCAGAATGGCAAAATCCACCAGAGAAATCGCACTTAGCGAAAAAGGCCAGGGCCTGCATGTGTCCAGATAAATCATTTAGTATTGTGTACATAAAGCTGTAGCCTTTACCTCGCAGGGATGGTATGGGATTTTGGCCGAGCGAAGTAGGACAGTGAAGGAGTGGGAAGGCAGTGCTAATTTTCCTATCAGCTTAAGGGATCTATCTCAGCAAGATTCTTTTATTCCGATAACGGAATTCTGTACATGCTGAACACATTGGAGAAACCATTAAAAAGGAGGAAACAAGCAAACAACCTCCTTCTTGTTCTGAAACACGAATGGCGGGGAAGTATTACACCAGCCTCTCGGGTAGCTGCTTTTGGAACTGTTGATCTTAGCCAAAGTGTATAGCCAGCTCTCTACCTGCACCTCACGCCGCTTCCCCAGGCCACCCAGCAAGCCAGGTTGATCTGATCATCTACACCAGCGCGCTGACTCCTAAATATTTCAGTAAAACCCTGTGTTCGTGTTGAAGTAGATGAAATGGGGAGGGAATGCACTGCTCACCCCTTAATGGCTTTTTTCTTGCTAGTTCTATCTCTTTGTTGGCTCTTGCCTGAGATTTTGCCCCAATTCAGCCTCGAGAGTGAGAGGATCGGAACAGAGAACCCTTGGCCTGATAGCCCCATCCAACCCACCTTGAGAAGGGACCCGGACAGTGGGCGCTCTGTAAGAAGCTGCTCTGAGGTCCCCCGAAGCCCTGCATGGCCCTCCCGGGTGCTGGAGGAGAAATGCACAGGAGCCCCAGTGGAGACGCGGTTTTCTCCCCACTTCGCTGTTCCACCAGGGAAGGGGGAAAGCCCACCGAGGTGAAGCAGGTCCTGGATCCGTGAAAGGTTCTAGGAACTTAACCTGTAGACTTTGATGGAGGACTGTATTTCTACGGTTGGGCACCTGTGCTAAAAAAAAACAATGCTCAGAAGGAAGGTGGGCTGGGGGGTGAAGGCGAGGACACGGAGAAAGACGAGGGGGAGGAAGCCCTCGCCATCTAAAATTCATGCAGACTAAACAGTTTCCCCGACCGAATAAATACAGCGGATGCTACCCTGCTCCGGAATCAAAAGCAATTTAATTAAAGTCTCTTAAGTTGTAAAGAGTTTTAAATGTTCCGTGTTGAAGGCGAATGCCTGCAGATGCACTGAGCTTGACGTCAGCTGCCAGGCCTGGGCTGGGAGGCCATTTGCTATTCTGTTTAAGGCAGGCTGGATTGTCTTATTTTGGAACCAGCTTGGTGGGGGGTTTGCTTTGCTACTGCTTCTGAGCCCTGAGCTTCAAAGGCTGAAATTAATGGTGAACAAAATTGTGCGGCTCTGGCCGTCCCATGCGGGGCAAGCCCATTGAGGGTTATCATTAAGTAAGGAAATAAAGAGGGGGAAAAAAGCCTGCCTGTTCCAAAAACCTCATCAGATAATGACCTCAGTGATTGGATTTTCATTACCAAACAGCATCCAGAGATTATCCACCCCGTAGAAGAAGGGAGGGGGTGGAAAGAAAGAAAGGGAAGCAACTGTCTTTCTCTCCCTCTCTCCTCTTTTTTTTTTTTTTTTCCGCACATCTTTTCTTTAAAACTGTCAGATCATTTCAGTATTTCAAATCCGAGGAAAACAGCCTGCCTGCTGCTGTATTTGAAGTTGTAATGGTGTCAAAAAGTCACGACTGACTGACAGCCGTCAGTCCCAGAGGGGCTCATTAAATCATAAAAACTTGACAAGGAAATAATTGCACATCGCCAGCAACTTGGCGCCTGTTTAGACGGTTTTATTTTCTTCCCTTATTAGTCCCCGCCATTACGTTCATTAACAAATTGCATTAAACAACTGTTAAGGGCTAATGATTTGTTTATTGCTTTTTATTATTATTATTATTATTTAAACATTAGCTGTGTCAGGTGGTACCCGAGCAGCCTCTTGCCATCATCTGACTGAATATTTTTCCACTCCCGAGCTCTGGGTACTGTTGGAATATGAAATAGATTATTCATTACTCTCCTCTTTGCCACTGATTTGATTTCATGTAGCGTCTTCCACAGAGAAAGATGAAAACTTGTCAAAAATAGGTTATATCTTATTCGACGGGGCAACACTGGCACCAGGTACAGGCACACTTTAATATTTAATTAAGGTTGATGTTAACCCCTTTAAATGACTTTAGCTGGAAGTTCTATTCAAATGCAGAAGAGAAAAATAATTGTTCTTAATTTGCAACCTGTTCAGCAGGCATTCTTCATGGAGTTAGCTGGAAATTTAGAGCCGAATTTTTAAATAATGAAATTTCCCATCATAAATATTTATAGCCGTTTGTCTACGTAGTTGAGAATTAACTACAAGCAGTGATTTCCTTGTCTCTTTGGTTTGAACTGCTAGCCTAGTGGGGCACTCGGTGCTTGGGAGTGGAGGTGGCTTTCCTGGGAGAATTGCAAATCCAGAGCCAAGGACGGTTGGTTGGTTGTGGCTGGGGCCGGTTTCAAAGGAACCTCTGTGAGTCCCCTGTCTCTGGTCCACTTGTCTCCTCCAGTAGCTGAGTGTGTGGTTGGAGGACTGTGGTCTGGAGAGTGAGTAGGGATTTCTTAAAGGAACACTTGTGCATCCAGTCGGCTGGTGTGCAGAGTGTGTGATGGGGCGTCTCTGTGTAGTCAGTGAGCTCATTGCAAACAGCGCTTCCCTGAGAGACAATAGGAGTGATGCTTTGCTGGGATTGACCGTCTATCTTTTTTCCTTTCTGTGACTTGCCATTGGTGAAATCATCAGCTTTTCCATGGGCTCTGAGCTTTAAGGGGAAAAGCTCCATCATCATCATCATCATCATCGTCATTCGGGGTCTGAGGTCAGTGGCATTCTCCATGCCCGAACAGCTGGCTGCATCTGGTCTCCTTGTTTGATCCGATGAGTTTCACAGAGCCATGGAAGCTACTCTCAGAGGCCTGGTCCACTGGTACTGCAGGGCTGGGGTGTTCCGGTCAATAACAGGGAACGAGGAGTACCCCTCGCCAACCTGCTTTACTCCCACCCACCCGTCCCCAGAAAGACAGACCCCTTGGGCAGCCACTCGATGGATGTGAAGGGGAGAGATGGTGCATGTCCCTTGCTCAGCCACCATCTCTCAGCATCACCCCCTGCCCCCAAGGACAGATGGTCCCAGCAGGAGCTGTGGCAAAGGAGGGGCGGGTCCAGCAGGTGGGAGCCAAGCGAGGCCTGCCCTAAGCTTCAGAGATCACCATGGGCATAGAAATGGTCCACACACCAGGGTCTAAGGGGTCTCAGGTCTCCATTTCAGTCTGTTCCAAATTAGCCACGTGACAACTTACCGCCTTTAGAACGGACTCCACACCTCAGCAAAAGATAGGCTCAGAGTCATTTTTCCAAAAGGAAGGAAGGCTTTGTGGTAAACCATCCCCAGTCTGACTCCCAGAGACACTGGTTGCCTGAGATGAGCCACCCACCCTCAAACTTGACCTCATCCTATGCTATATAATTCACTAACCTTAAGCCAAATCCAGGAAACGTTCTTGTTTAGATGGCTTTGCCTGCAGCTCATTGGGCTCAAACCAGTAGTGTCTCCCAGGGGCCATCCACATCTTGTGACTTGTCAGGTAGCTCTTAGACACGACGTTAGCCTTTTAAAAATGGGGCAGGGGACTGTGTGGACAGCTCAGAGAAGTTCTTAAAGCCCCAGGATACTCCCCAAGAAAGGAGACCTTGCAGGGTAACCAAGAGCTGCCAGGGGCAGGCAGGAGAATAGTGTATGTGATTGGAGCCAAGGCCAGATATAGGGTCCTCTTCTGTTGTAGAGAAGCGAAGACCCAGGGAATGCTAAGAGAGACTGCCCGTGTCCCTTAGGATTCTAGGTCAGTAATAAGGTGAATGTTCCAAAGCCCGCTTACCAGAGGCAAAGTTGGGCAAAAACAAGATGGCGGCGCAAACCCAAAATGACAGGACAAGTGGGTTGGGAACGTGTGAGGAGGTGAGGGGTAGACGGTGTATAGGTGAGGGGCGGGTTCCCAGAACAAGGGGACAGGAAATGACAAGTGGGATTCATCCCAGGAGATGGGTAAGAGAGCAGGGCACTGGCGTTAGGCCACACTTTGTGCCACCCTGGGCCCATTATTGGCCTCCTTCAGGAGGCGCCAAAGGTGGGGAAAGACAGGGTGCCTATCTCCCAGGACCCCCGGCCCAAATCCCA